GTAACATTCTGTTTTTAGCATAAATGGTCCGACTATCATTATGAGTAAATCAGCTATGTTCGAGTAGAAAGAGAAAAGATCAATGCACTTGATAGTAATATGAGTGTATCAAAAAACTACCTTAAGTGCTGACCGTCTGAAAGGTGAGGCACGGATATAGGACTTGACCAACTTGTAGACCGAGAAATCAAGAAGTAAACCGGGGTTTTCATCACGTAACCACGGATGAGCTGCAAACACATAATACAATATTACCTCTTATGGAAAGCAAAGCAACCCCGTTAACTTGAAGCCATATTCTTATTTCCATTTCAAGATCAGTGTCCATTTTTAAACGACGGAAAAAGAACTTACCTAGAGCTTGAGCAGCTGTCATTCGTTTCCTATGGTCCTTATTCAGAAGCCTTTTCACGAAGTCCTTGGCAGTAGGAGATATTGAAGGCCAGGGCATATCCTCAAAATTAGGGTTTGCTCTAAGCACACAGCGGAATATTGCAGATTCAGTTCTTCCATAGAAAGGTCTGCTTCCACAGAGAAGTATGTAACTTATGACACCGATGCTCCACATATCTGCTTCAGTGCTGTAAGACCTATGGAGTACTTCAGGTGCAACATAGTACGCACTCCCTACAACATCATTGAGACGCTGATCTGCAAATATAAAAGGCAATAAGGAAGATACAAGTAGAATAACTAAATGTGAGCGGAAAACTTATATATATGAGGTTTGGGAGCACTAATAATGCCAAGGGAACACAGAATAAGAGTAACGGTTACAATACCATATATGACCATTACACATTGCAGCTAAACCATAAACTCATCAGATAACTTAAATGTCAAAGCTAGACTTATAATATGCAGAATCATGTAATAAGAAAGGGGAACATAGAAATAGATCATTACCGTATCTAATGAAATCAGACAAGCCAAAATCTATGACCTTGAGTATCGCATCCTCATTTCTGCTGGTAAAGAGAAAATTCTGGACACAATTGTACCATATGTTTAAGTAACCATAAATAGCAAAGAAGATATGTAGCATTAATAGAAATATCAGCAACTTATAGAAGCAGACTGTGTACCTCCGGCTTCAGATCACGGTGCACAACACCTTGAAGGTGAAAAAATGCTGTTGCAGATAAAATCTGCACAAGAATACGTTTGGCATCAACTTCAGGGTATCGTCCACCTCTGCAGTAAAATATAAGACAATAATACAAGTTAGAAGCATATCTATTCCAAAGCTAACTAGCCTAAGTAGGCCGAAATCTAAGCACTAATATAAAGTCAGACTAAGAAAGGTAACTTTGGAATTACCTCGCCAAAATTCTATCCAATAGTTCCCCACCTTCGCATAACCTAAAAGCATATCGGAGAAGAAGATTGAATATCAAACGGTCGACTCATTTAATAAACTAGTACAACTTTTAGTTTAGTTGTTATATATCAAATCCTTGATAAATCTTCCAAATCCCAACACACAATAACATAATCAAGAACAAACCATATAAAGCTAAAATACTTACTCCATAACAACAAAGACATTATCAGCATCCTCATATACATCATAAAACTTAACCATATGCCTATGCCCAGATAAAGCTTTCAGCAATTTCACTTCTCGACGAACATCTTCAATCGATAGCGTCGACGTCATCTGATAACAAAAAAAAACGCCAATTCATAATCTAAACCATTGATCACAGAACCTAGCTATATCATTCTACATTCCTGAATCATAAGAGAATTTCATATAGTGACAAGTCCCTACATTCTGAAACCAAACAAAAGAGAAGAACACACCTTAGCTTTAGAGATGATTTTGACAGCCACGGTTTGGTTCTTCATCTTCCCTTTCTTTGCCTTTGCCCAACAAGTATGACCAAAATGCCCTCGCCCTACTTCTTTCCCTAGCTCGTACTTCCCTTCGAAGTTCTTCCCAAACCCGAAATTCTTATCTAACCTCTCTCCGCCGCCTCCGCCGCCGTGATCTGCTACATCTTCACTATCCTCCGGGATCGGCTCATCTCTAGGCTGCGGCGGAGCGCCACGTCGTCGTCTCAAAGCCGCCATAATCGGTTTGGCAGGTGACGGTGGAGGAAACGGCCATTTGAACTTTCGTCCCGGAGTTCTCGCCGGTGATGGAGCTACTCCCGCCGGTAACGGACTTTGGAAAGGGCTAATGTTATATGAGTTGACTTCAGAAGCACCAGAAGCAACCGGAGACTGAGGAATCGAAGCATGCCGGTGATTCTCCGTTGATTGAGATGGTTGATTCGAAACTTCGTCGTTTCCGGTGGGGATCTCGTCATCTTCGACGGCGGAGATGTTCCGGCTGTAACAATGACCCATGACCGTTGATTGTGAAGCTCAAATTGACTGATCGGTCAGAGTCAAAGCATCGGACGGTAATGAACCGAAGTTGAATAGGGAAAATAAAAATGTTTTAAATCAAAAGAAAAAATTAAAGATTTTCAATTTTTGTTTTTGAAAAAAATAAAGAAAAAAGAGCTCAGAGATTTAAAGGAAAAAAAAAGAGAGAAGGCGTTTGATAAATGAAGACCACTAAGAACGAGGCAAGAGCGCGTAGTGGCATTAATCACTTTTAATTGTATGTTAATTTCATTTAATGACTTTCACATCTACTGATGTTAATTGTTGAATTGAAAGTAACGACGAAAGAAATAAGAAGAAAATTTCTGACCAAAAATATACTGAAATTAGCTACAATTTTTATAAATTATATGTTTGCTTAAATAAGGTGAAAAATTACTTCTACATTGATTATTTTTCTATAAAACTTGGTGAGTTTTTTTTTTTTTTTTTTTTTTTTTTTTTTTTTTTTTTTGCATTTGAGCATATAGAAAAATAAAAAGAGAAACTGAGGGGTTGGTGTTTTTTGTGTATTATGTAAACATTAAGAGGTTGATCTTAACTATCACTTTTTTTTTTAATATCGAAATCGTTATCTTGCAAGGTAAGAAACTATATATGTTAAGCTAAAATAATATAAGGCGGCGATGCTTTGTAAAAATATTTTACTTTTTTAAAGAATAACTAGAAGAATTCCCGCGTAATTTGAATTATATAAAAAATTAAAGTTAAGATCAAATGATTTATTTTTTAGTTTTGATATTTCTTATATAATTTAATGCTAATTCAGAAATTTAGTTCAAATGACACATGTCATAAACATAAATGACATGTGCTTATCTTATATTTGTTAATTTTAGTTATTTTTAACTATGGATTAAATAAACTTTTAAAATAGTATAGCACTTGAAAAAACATTGTGCTTACAATACATTTTCGAATGGTAGACAACATATTTGATAGCAAATTAAACAGAAAATTACCAAGATATACACAATCTCTACCTAATAAATTGTTCAACAATTTACTTTGTTTCTTTCTTACAATAATTAAAGACCTAAGATTTCAAAAAATAAATAATAATAATTAAAGACCTCATAAGAAAAATAAAGATTTTTAAAAAGATGGAACACGGTGATTTTGATCTGTCACAGCCATATGCATGAAAAACGCTTAAACGAGTTAATGCGGTCACCTACTACTACTTCTCCACCGTCAAGTACTGAAAAAGACAACAAAAGGCCACTTTTTACATCCTTTAATATAAACCGGTTTAAACCGCTTTGGTACAGATTGGTAAGCAAGTCTCTCATTTAACATCTCACCGGTCTGGCCCGGTCCGGTCCAAACCTTTGATAGCAAATACTCTTTCTGTTTCTAGATGTTTGATATTCCATATTTTTAGTTTTTTTTTTCTTCTACATTATTAGTTTGTTCCACAGAGTTATTTCTTTTTAGGTTCTTGTTTTGTTTTTTATTGATTGAAAATAATGTATCGTAAACTTTAAAACTTAATGATTAACTGTTTTCTATTACTATTAGTTCAAAATTATTAAAAAAATATTTAATATAAAAAAGTAATTAACAAATAACTAAACAATAATTGTTTCTTACTATTTGTGAAAATTGTAGAACATCAAATATTTAGGAAAAGAGGGAGTAACGTGGGTCAAATTGTTTTAGGACGAAAACTAAAGTCGATAACCCCACCGGTTCAATGGGTTAAACTTAACCAAATTGGCTAAGACATGAGTTTGTTGCCTTCAACAGTACAAGAATCAATCGTCTCTTAACCATATGGTCCGGTTTGATAGTTGACTTGTGTTGCAAGAAATATCTCACGTTGTGTTTGCTCGTAACCTTTCGTAGACGTAACCTATCTTGACCGGTTAGTTAGCCGACAATGGTCTTATCAGTTGACATTTTCATTCCCCATTTGTATAATTTGTTTCTCCATTTTTTCAACCTTTGTATACGTTTTTTATTCAATATATAAAACAGGTTAGTGTCCCAAATTTGAAAAAGTTACAAGTCTTACACAGGAGGACCTGGTCAAACATGGATTATATTCTTTTTAAACATGGATTATATTTTAATTACAAACAGAAAGTCAACTAAAACTTCCATATTTACTGTGCCTAATTTTTGTTGTGGGTTCACATTTGAGTGTAGTTTTGTCAATCATATCAAACAAACCAAACCGAGTCAATCAAATTCAATTTAGAAAGTTGATCTATATTAAAGAAATTTCAGGGTTTAATGAATATAGTATCAAAATAAGGGGCCTTTGGTTAGTATACAAGTTTTGTTTTACAAGGTATTCTTGTAAGCAATCAAACTAGTGTCTAGAGTACTGAACTAAATCTCCTATATCAGACAAATATGCAACTAAAATTCAAGGAAAGGGACGAGCATAACTAAAAACAGAGATATTTTTAAAGCAAAGACTCTCCTAAAATCTAATAAAAACAACACCCAAAAGAAGAGATCAATGAAACGATTTGTGAAGAAAACCAAGAACTTTTTTTTTTTAAGTCCAACAACTTTCACTGTCATCAAATCAAACACTGAATAATCATACCAAACAGAAATGCATGGAGATTCAGACATAGAGTAGGAGAGGATTTGTCCAAAAGGGTCTTAAAATGATCCATAAAGATGACCAAAATGATGTTTCCAAATTATTATATGAAAAAACCAGATCAATTTGGTTCCGAAGGACAAAGTTTTAGCTAGCCTAAGTTACTGAGGGTTCAAAGATACCGGCCGGGCAGCCTGCGAAGCGAAGAAACAAAATGATGTTTCTATGAAAAGAAAACGCCTCAAGTATCTCAAAGTGACTTTTGATCTCTCTATCTTTATTTGAATAGATAGATCTCTTTCATCGGATTGCGATTAGCTTTAGTTTAAATCAGAGTGGTGTGGCCTCACTGGCGTCTTTGATGGGCTTATCCTTCACACACATAGACAAAGCAAATATTAATCTCACAAGTGAGTTTTATCAACCCTTAAGAACACCAAAGTTGTTACATTTTCTTCATAAATAGCTCAAAACCCGAAACACAAACAGGTAATTAGATTTCTAATAAACACAAAAAGGACAAAAGAAGACCACAATAACGAATTTTTTTTTCCTTTTCGTGAGCTTACCTTATTGGGAGCTCTCCCAAGACAACACCACTGTAATTAAGAGCAGAAATTGCACTTTCTGCCTGAAACACAAGCAAAAATAATCATTTTCCACTTTATTGTTTGTATATAAAGTTGATTGGGGCCAAATTTGCCTCTTCAGGCCAAACAAATTCAATATATAGTGGACCATGCTCATTATTTCAGTGTGTATATCACATTTATGATCAAACCTATATTTTGCCCAAGAATATTGGAAATCAAAATCTTTGTCACATGATGTAACTTATCAAGATAGAATAGCTAGTCTTTGCTTATCAAGAATCACTACTATAATGAACATTCATGTATATATGGAAACAGGCAATAGAAAATCACCAGCTTAAATTCGACAAAAGCAATGCGGGTTTGGTGGTAAAAGTCTCCAAGCAACCTCAGATGGTGAACCTAAAAGGAAAAATAAAGATGTTAAATGGGAAAACACAACATCTTTAAAAGTATAAACAATCGGCCACAGTCAAATCCAAATCTATACCTCCCCACAAACAGTTTTAAAGAAATTTTCCAACTCCATCTTAGTGACCTGCAATTAAAAACCAGAAAAATAAGATGGATAAAAGTTTTATTTCACCAATGTCTGAAACATGACATAATAAGTTACCTGCTTGTCAATGTTGGTACAATAAACTGTCTTTCCACACTTCTCTAGCTCTTCCTCGGACTGAAGGAAGAAAACGTCGTTATGCATACCACATTATAGATAAGAACAAGATTGATTTAGACATGATTATCTCAACTTACCCGTGGAAGGAACGACGGGTTAACAGGTGCAATAGCTGTTTTGGAAATATGAACCCTAATAGGATGAGAACCAAACACAGTACCCGATTTTCGTAAGGCAGACCTAGCTCCCTCTGAGACATAACTTCACTGATTAATAAAAACAACAAGAACATTTCAACTCATAAGAAAATTGGAGCATAATTAAGTACCTGCATCGGTGAACTCAATGAAGGCGAAACGAAGAATGGACTTATGGTCACCGCATATACGGCAATCAACAACCTTTAAACCCAAAAATTGGTGAGAAAACGTATGAGAATTGAGTTTGCATGATATCAAAATAAACTGGTTAAAGATTATTAAGTACCTGGCCACAAGAAAGAAAGAGACTTGCAAGTTGCTCCTCAGTAACCTAAAAAAAGAACAACAGGGTTTTTGTTATATATATGAGATTAGATTCTTTATGAAAAAGTGCTTTCTTCAGACAAGATTTATCTGTTTTATACTTGTTGATCGATGTCTGAGACATATACAGTTCTCTTGATTACATCTTCATTCTGAACCAAGTTTGTTTTTTTGTTAATCCATCGCCTCCCTTGGCCAAAGCTCCTTCTCTGTGTTAATTTGTACAAGACTTAGCGAGCAAGCATTACGATCACATTTTTCAGACATGCAAATTGAAAAGCTGATCCTAACAGGCCATTTCGACCAAACATTGAGTAGACATTTCATGAACACATAACAAATCCAACAAAAATAGATCATAATTCAAAGAAAATATAAAAGATGAAACATACCATTGTAGAAATAGCTTGCACTGGAAAATTGTTAGTGAACCATAATCTACTTCTCAAAAACTCAGAGTGGGTTTGAGCAAGAAAAGAAGGGACAAATTCCTTAGCCATCGGATTCAAACGACTTATCTCACTCATGAGATCCACTTCACTGGTTCTTTGGATCAATTCGTTTGTGAGAACAGAGGAATTGGATTTAGGTGTCTGGTCATCAGGACATGACGGTTTTGTCTCTGCTAATGAAGTAGTATTGTTGTCTAAATTTTGATCATCAGAAGAATCCACCTTCACACCAACATTTTCTGCGACAGCCATGGTCAAACCAAAAGATCGATGAATCTTTCGGATGGTAATAAGATTATCAGAAACAACTCTTGAAGATTTTAGGAGTTGATTAAAATAGAGGAGACATTATTATGCCCTTTATAGAGAAACAATATTTTCTAGTCAAGATTTTTATTTAATTTTTTGACATTAGTCAAGAAAATAGGCAAAATACAATAAATTATAATTATTTTATTTTCTTTGTGTCGACACAATTTCTTCATTTTTATTACTACATTTAAAGTTATTACATTACTAGGATTCTGTTTTTTTTTTTGTTTATAATAAGATTTTTATTAATAAACTTCTCATAAACGGGCTTGGGCTAAGGCCCATTACACGTATGAAAACCAGTTACAAAATAGGTTAATCGGAAAAACCGCCGGAAAAGTGGAAATGTTCGATCGGAAGCAGAGTGGCGGACTCAAGAGTCACAGCTTTGCGGACGTATACGAAGGATCGAGAAACGCAGCCGGAAGATTTCGGTTTCCGTCTGCAAACTCTCTCTGCTACCGCACCAACCCACCACAACTCTCCCAGAAAACTAGCTACTCCGACTCACCGGTTCCACGGTATCTGTTCCATGCCTAGCAACCCATACACTAGGGTTTAACCCCTTCTCTGTCCGTGACTTCTCCGATAAGATGGTGCTCACAGTCTGAACCCTTGCCCCTGCATCAGCCATCTAAGATCCGACTGGATCTACAGTTAACCATCTCGTCTAACAAATGAAACCTACCGAATCACCATCAACTTCCATCGTAGCCGCAACCACCAGATCGACGGGTGAGCAAGAGGAACTCCAGAGCATTCCTCGGCGTCCTCATCCGTGGAACCAAGGCTGCAGAACTCCTCCACCGTCAAACAGGAGCAACGACCACATCGATGGGGATTATTCTCTTCACCGCTGACGGCAAAGAATAGCGAGCTCTCTCTTGGACTACTGTAAAAAAACTTCGACATGCGATGAAAATCTGCTACCCGAGAAAACTAGATCGAGATATGGAAAATCTTCTACAGGAGAGAGAGAAATTTCCTCTCTCGAGGCAACGATTGTGCCTTTTTCTGTTTTTTCTCCTTCTTCTCTCTCTTATTTATGTAGTTTTACTTTGAGAATCTATATGCGGTGACCACATAAGATTGAAAAATTAGTTCTCTCTCCTCTTCAATTTTATCGTCTACTGTACAACAAATTTAGACTATTTTGCCCTTAACTTCAACATTCATATTTCTCTCCTTTGTCTGGTATCTATACAAGAAGAAAGAGAGAGTAGATGAGAAAGAAGAAAAGAAATGGTTTGGAGGAAGAAGATCCGGATTGGACAGTATATACAAATGTTGGATGGAGAATCAAAGCTTGAGATTATTTTAATCCTTTCTTGTAGAGAACTGTTATGAGAGTGGATCTTATAAGCATCCCTAGTTTCTGGGAATTGAAATTGAATTGATGATCGTAGATAAGAATTAGATGAAATTGGCAATTAGGGGGATGAGAACGAGGTAGTGGTCACTACTATTCCGGTGGATCCTTTGATGGAGACGAGAAGTAGTTTGATTTCACCGGAATTATGACACTGCTAGTGGTTACTATTACTACGGTGGATCCTTTGATGGAGACGAGAAGTAAGACGGCGGTTAAAGGAGAAGAGAAGAAGGAAGCAACGTCGCCTGCTCTTAGACTCACGGCAGTGGAATTGTCACAGATGGGGGAGAAGATGGAGCATCTCGGAGACGGTAAAGAGAGTTGTGACGAGAAAATTGAAAAAAACCCAGTAGATTATTTCAAGTTTTCTTTCTCTTATTTGATTTCTGATGTCGATAAAATACTTCTTAACATGTTAATCAAATAGTTATCCACATAAATATTATAATATATGTAACTAGTTATTTGTATATGATATAACAAATGAGTTGCCACGATAAATATAAATTTATTACATAAATTATAAACTTATCGCGATACAATATGGTTTAACATGATATATTTATAAACTTATCGATATATATTATGTTATCATGCTAACCTAATAGATAATCAGTTAACTCATAATATGTTCTTACTTATGTATTTGATTCGTTAGAATCAGATAAAATACGTCGATAACAATTTTATTATATTACTAAATAATTTGTTATATACGGAGGGGTATTTTTGTCCAATTTATATAAATTGATGAGAGAGAATTAATTATATAAAAACTATAGGTGTATTCTTAATTTATAAGTCTTCTGTGTATTTATATTAATATAGCCCAACTTTGAGTAATTTGTTTTTATCAATATACTTTACATCTCTTTTTTTTTTCTTTTTCATTTTATAAAATAATTTTAGTGTCAGTTTTCTTTTTTTTTTTTTTGCAACATATTTTAACTATTTTTATAAATCGACAAAGGTAAATATATGAATACGAGAATAAATACTCACTATAAGTGCACGCATTTTATTTTTAACAGAAAAAAGTCAATTTTTCTGTTAAAAAAATAAATAAGTACAGTTAATGAATATGGTAATTTTTATTATTTTATAAAAAATGGTATCTAGTGAAGTATTTGATTTAAAATATTTATATTTAGTTTCTAGTTAAATATGGGATTTTTAGTCAAACTATTTATATATTTTTCATTCGAGTCAAAACATTAAATTTAAAGTGTTAATTACCGAACATTTTTTTTCCTTTTTCTGTATTAGTTTTATTAGAAAAAAATTAAAACGTTGACTAAAACATGTAATTTACGAATTCTTATATTGATTTAATATCAACGAATAAATTAGATATTAAAAAATTAAAATGTGGAAGCGCCTTTAGTATATTAGTTGATTAAACATTAATTTATGCTTCTATACGAAAAGGTCTAGTTCGAGTCTCAGGTTAACAGTTTTCAGGAAAAAAAAAAAAACTAAAATATGTAATTTAATCGAACCGGTTAATCCAGTCGATACCGGTCGGTCAAGTGTATCTCAGGACTCAGGATCAGATATCCTGAAAACGGCAGCGTTTGGCATTTTGCCATCAAGGGCAGGAAACAGATTCCGTGCAAAAGCTCCGGTGGTTCTTCTCCCACCGCCGTATGTTTTTCCGGCGCTCCGGACAGCCGTCTGATCCGACTCTAATTTGCGATCAATTCCGATCCCTAACAGCTACTTCTCGTATACCATCGTTCTCTCTCTCTAACCTCTGCGTATTTGGATCTTATCGACTAGAGTAGAGTCTTCCCTTATACTTGCATCGTTCTCTCTTCCATGGTTTTAAACTAGTTTCAGCTCTATTGTTCAATCCCCTTTTAACTATCTCATAAGTTTCGTGTTTCCATTTGCTCAGTGTTTTCCTTCTCTACCAGAATCTGCTCTAACAAATTATTTGCTTTGTCATTGTATTCTCTGGGAATTTGGATAGTCTTGGTGTAATCTTTCAATCTTAGTTCGTGTTACATTTGCTGATTTATGAAAGGAATAAACTTCTATCACTTTAGGTAATAATATATAACTCTTGTTTCTTGTATCACAGCAGCTTTCAACTTGGAAAGAAACAATGGGAATCATTGAAAACGGATCAATATCGGGTAACTTGCCGAGCAAGGAGGCGTTTGTGGTTCACTATCCTGGCTACCCATCATCTATTTCCCGAGCTCTGGACACTCTTGGGGGAATCCAAGGGATCACAACCGTAAAGCCTTTGCCCAAGAATTTCTTTTCATTTAGTTGTTTCTTTCCATGCTAGTTATTACTAGGAATCCCTACTTTGTATGCTGATATCATCTTGGGGCGCTTATCCGTATAGCTATTTTGTAGCGTTGTTTGGGTTTCTTTTGCTTGGTGCATTCCAAGATTTAGGAAATTGGTCACATATCAAAAACGTTTGACAAGTGTTGGAATGGTTTAATCACTTTGAAAGTTTTTTTGTAGGCAAGAGAATCAACGTCAAACAAGCTTGAGCTTCATTTCCGCCCTGAAGACCCTTATGCACATCCTGTCTTGGGAGAACAACGTCCTTGTCATGGTTTTCTGTTAAAAATTTCGAAGGAGGTCGTTAAGAAAGATTCTCTGCCTGAAAGTCAACCTGTTCTTGCCACTAGCAATGCATGCTTACCAGAAGATTTCCCAGCCCTGTGCGCTGATATTGTAGCTCGTGTGTCTGAATCGTATTGTTTTGATGGTAAGAACTTAGCTCTCCAATTTCTGGGTCTTGTGCATCGTAATTTGTCTTATACAATGAGCCTCGGCTTATGATTTCCTGTTATATTGAGGTTTGTTTCACTCTTATTCATGTGGGTATTGTGAAGGCATGGCCGACTACCAGCATGTAGTTCCTATTCACGCTGATATTGCACAGCAGAAGAAGAGAAAATGGATGGAGGTGAAGTCACTTGCAGGTGATTTGTCTCAATTCATTTTGTATTTTCATTAAAATGCAAATCTTTTGGTGTGAGAACATAAATTAAAATGAATCCTCTCTAATATCATGCAGGAAAAAACGATCTAATGGACATGGCTGATGAAGATGTGATGATGTTATTGCCACAGTTCTTTTCACCCAAAGATATGCCAGACAACTTGGTGTAAGATTACAACTGTCTTAATTTTTCCTTACAATTTTAACATTCTTACCTGTTATCTGTTTTCATCTGAATCTTAGTTAGGAGGACCCGATGTTTATTCTGGAGTACTTTTAGTTATAGGATGTTTTGTAGTATTTTGGTTATCGGCAAACGTTGAAGGAGAACATATTTGATTATAATTTTTGAAGTTCCATCTGAACACATTGTTAATTCGACTTATGTTGTTTGATTTATAGGCTGAGACTTCCAGTAACATCAAGCCCAAAAAAGAAAGATGAGGAACTAACTCAGAATCTTTATGAGGTAACAGAAGAAATGAAACCATTTGACGTTTGTAGAGAAATTGAAAACAGACTGTTGGAAAAAATTGACTCAAAACATATAGTCTACTGATATGGCAAGCCATATCGTCTTTCTGTAACTAATAGACTGGGAGGAGTTCTTAATTACTAAACGGTAAGGTTTGAGACTTTCTTGACG